ATGGATGTTTTGTTTTCTCTCCTTGAGATGTGGATCTAGATTTTGCAGACGGTGTTGCATTATTCATAAAATTAGGCAGATCAAAAAAAGAGATACAATTCGTCGCAAACAACAATGCGCTAGGAAACTCGATTATTCGAGTTCGATTGCCGGTCACGGTTGACTTAACATCAGTGTCGATTTATATCTAAACCGGTTCCTCGGTTTTCCCACCTTAGTATGATTAAACCCTCAGCACCAACACGGAGGGGAAGAGACGCTTTAATCCAGCAGCGAATTAATAGGCGTAAGAAAGTCTAGATTTGAAGCTTTCGTGACTGCAAGGATCCATACTCTTTGGTTCTTTCGGTAAAGTCACGTAGGTGAAAAATAAAAATAAATAAAATAAATAAATTATTTTCTTTTTCTTTTATTTCTACGTGACTTTACCGAAATAACCAAAGAGTAAGCGTAAGAGAACCACGTGTGTTGTTTTAAACCACACGGGGATGGTGCCGTGGGGTGTTTTGATTTTCACACTGGAGTGACAATCGAGAACTCGCCAGTTGGTTCTGGGGCCGTCCATAAATGACGTCACGCATCTAAGGGGGAGGGGGTCAAACATTTGTGACGATGTGTGACGAGGGGGGGGGGGGGTTGAGAAATGTGACGTCACATCAAAATGCGCAACTTAAAAAAAACTCGACAACACGTTCTGCTTAATAAAATAGACTTTTTAATAAATGTTTTCTCCTACAACATCAGAGTGCAGCGCCACATTAAATACGTACTACAATGACAATAGTTTAAAGCGATTTGAAGCCTGTTTTATTTTTTTGGAGGGGGGGGGGCAGAGCTTTGTGACGTCATATTTGAGGGGGGGGTCTGACGTTTTGTGACGCCGTGCGACGTTGGGGGGGGGGGGTCAAGAATCGTCCAAAATCGCGTGACGTCATTTATGGACGGCCCCTAATCTTTCCTGACACGGCTATCTGGCTTGACCGCCTGCATGTGAAATATAGTTTTTGCTCTGCATCGTACGGAAGAAGAAGATTCAATGGGAAGTTGTGGTGTAAAGTGTGGGTAGACCCCCCCTCTTAGAAAGCTGTACTGGCCAACGTCACGTTATAGAGCAGCGGTCGGGAACCTATGGCTCGCGAGCCATATATGGCTCGTTCGATGACGGCATATGGCTCCCAGACAATTTTGAGTTGAAAAAAATAAAATAAAAAATCAGTTTGGAACTGATTTTAAAATACTTGTGATATTGCTTAATAATACTGTGTCATTTTTAAATAAACAGAAATTCGTTTTGAAGATAAATTTCACGGGTCACGGGGCCTCAACGCCTGCATGAAGCTCAACCTCACCACGTATGAACCTGACTACAAGGCCATCAGCAAAACCACGCGGCACCAGAAGTCGCATTAAAAGTAAGACATATTAATTTATTATACGTTAAAAATACTATATGGCTCTCAATGCAATATATTTAGAAATATTTGGCTTTTATGGCTCTCCCAGTCAAAAAGGTTCCCGACCCCTGTTATAGAGGCTCTCTCGGATGTTGGCTATCAACAACAAGGCAACTCCTATGACTAATTGGGAATGGGACGCAAGCGTAGGATTGATCACCCTGTCGCTGGCCGCCTTTGGGGAGGGTGTATAGTATGAAAGGCCGAAACACCCTAGGAACCAAAGGGTCACTACTGACGATGCGCTCCCCAAATTTCACCAGGCTCACTGTTCATGAACTCTTGGAAGTGCTTGCACAAAGGATAGTAACATCTCATCCTGTGTTCTTTGGAATCTGAATTTAGTGAAGGCCCACCTCCACTGGCAGACGGGAGTGAGCAAGCAGAATCAGGATCTTTAAACTCGAGTGTCTTGTACGCATGCTGAACTTCGTTCGCGCCGTACGGAGGCCAACCGCGCTATAAATCGAAGGTGCGCGATTTTGGCGGATAATTAATTAGCTGCTGCTGATGACGACGACGAGAGTGAGGCAATTGCGATTCCGTACGAAATAAATCACGCGTGAATGTAATTAAATGTGCTTTGTAGGGAAACTACAATAAGGCAATCCAGGACAGATGCACACACCGCGAGCAGAGGCCAGCCCCAAACAATCCCCTCCTCGCGTGTTAAATGACCCAGCTCGGCCCACGTGCTCACTCCGCTCACCACGCGAGCCCCGACCGCCAATCCCCAGCCACGTGGTCGTTCCTTTTAAACCCCCTCCAATATCCCCCCCCCACCCCTATCGCCCCGCCCACTCCTCAATCGCCCCGCCCACTTCACCCATCGCCCCGCCCACTCCTCAATCGCCCCGCCCACCTCACCCATCGCCCCGCCTACTCAATCGCCCCGCCCACTCCTCAATCGCCCCGCCCACTTCACCCATCGCCCCGCCCACTCACCCATCGCCCCGCCCACTCCTCAATCGCCCCGCCCACTTCACCCATCGCCCCGCCCACTCACCCATCGCCCCGCCCACTCACCCATCGCCCCACCCACCCATCGCCCCGCCCACTTCCACCCATCGCCCCGCCCACCCACCCATCGCCCCGCCCACCCATCGCCCCGCCCACTTCCACCCATCGCCCCGCCCACTTCCACCCATCGCCCCGCCCACTTCCACCCATCGCCCCACCCACTTCCACCCATCGCCCCGCCCACTTCCACCCATCGCCCCGCCCACCCACCCATCGCCCCACCCACCCATCGCCCCGCCCACTCCACCCATCGCCCCGCCCTTTCACGCCCAACTCCCCCCCCCTCCCTGATCCTTGCGCAGCCAATGACGGCGCACGCCTCAGTCACTACTGTCGCGTGCAGAGGGAACGTCAAGATGTGTAAGGGGTCGCGGCGAACTGTTTGTAAATTCATTTAAACTCAACACGGTCGTCAAGATCACTGTGTTGTGTGTGGGGGCCTTTAACATGAAATATATGGTAGGCAACGTTTCGGGCAATGACCCTTCTTCATAGCACATACGTAGAGAGGCCAGAGAGCGAGAGTGGATAATAAGAGTTGGAGACTATTTTACTCCCAGGGGCCTGATAAGAATGACATGAACATGTTTCCAAATGGACAGTTTTTTAATTGACATATGCAGTTAGCTATTGATTAAATTTGAGTTAAGAAAATAACTTTATATCTCCTTCGCATGTCTGTCACTCTGCAAAATGAATAAGAGTACTTTAGTACACATGCCACACAGCCTTTTTGTGGTGGAATGTGCATTTTGGTTTAGGGGGCGTCCATAAATGACGTCACGCACCTATTGAAGGGGGGGGTCAGACATTTGTGACGATGTGTGACGGGGGGGGGGGGAGAAATGTGACGTCACATCAAAATGCACAACTTTAAATATAGACAACACGTTCTACTTGATTAAATAGACTTTTTAATAAATTCTAGATTTGAAGCTTTCGTGACTGCAATGATTCATATTCTTAGGTTTTTTCGGTAAAGTCACGTAGGTCAAAAAACATTAAAAAGTAAAATAAAATAAAAATCACGACGTTTCGGAGGCAACACAAGCTTCCGTCTTCAGGTGGAACCGTCACAGCCACGACAGCTGTATCAAGTAAATGAGAGATTGCAGAAGCCACCACTCCGTTTATATAATGGCTCTTACTCCACCACCTCCTCCAACCATTATATAAACGGAGTGGTGGCTTCTGCAATCTCTCATTTACTTTTTAATAAATGTTTTCTCCTGCAACATCAAAGTGCAGCGTCACATTAAGTGCAGGCATTGTGTAGTAGTATTACGACCGTGGTCATTACACCCCGCAGTATTAATCAGGGTGGGGGGGAAGGGCTCTGGATTCGAACCGCAAACCTCTTGCAAGGAGGCCACGTTTGTAGACGCGAGACGCGTGATGGGTTCAAGACGGTGCAGTCTTCATCCAGCCGCAGATTGACCGTGTGGCCTGACCGGTGATGATCGTGGATGATATATTCTTTGTTCTTTCGGTAAAGTCACGTGGATAGAAAATTATAATAAAATTACAAAAAAATAAAAGCAAAAAAAACCACGACGTTTCGATCGCAACCAAAGCGGTCTTTTTCTCTCCGCCTGATGAAGACCGCTTGTGTTGCGATCGAAACGTCGTGGTTTTTTAGCTTTTATTTTATTTGTATTTATTTTTTCTATCTACGTGACTTTACCGAAAGAACCAAAAATATGAATTCCTGCAGTCACGAAAGTTTTAAGTCATCGTGGATGATGGTGATGACGGTGGTGATCGTGGATGATGGTGATGATGATGGTGATGATGGTGGTGGTCGTGGTTGACCGTCAATGATGGTGATGATGGTGACCGTGGGTGATGGTGATGATTGTGGTGATTGTGGTGATGATTGTGGTAGTCGTGGTTGACCGTGGATGATGGTGATGATGATGGTGGTGATGATTGTGGTGGTCGTGGTTGACCGTGAATGATGGTAATGATGGTGACCGTGAATGATGGTGATGATGGTGATGATGAATTGTGGTGATGGTAACGAGAAGTGGTTGGCCGTGAATGATGGTGATGATGGTGGTGGTGATGGTGAACGAGGAGTGGTTGGCCGTGAATGATGGTGATGATGGTGATGATGGTGGTCGTGGTTGACCGTGAATGATGGTGATGATGGTGGTGGTGATGGTGAACGAGGAGTGGTTGGCCGTGAATGATGGTGATGATGGTGATGATGGTGGTGATGGTCGTGGTTGACCGTGAATGATGGTGATGATGGTGATGATGGTGGTGGTGGTGATGGTGAACGAGGAGTGGTTGACCGTGAATGATGGTGATGATGGTGGTGGTGATGGTGATGATGGTGGTGGTGATGGTGAACGAGGAGTGGTTGGCCGTGAATGATGGTGATGATGGTGGTGGTGATGGTGATGATGGTGGTGGTGATGGTGAACGAGGAGTGGTTGGCCGTGAATGATGGTGATGATGGTGGTGGTGATGATGGTGGTGGTGATGGTGAACGAGGAGTGGTTGGCCGTGAATGATGGTGATGATGGTGGTAGTGGATGATGGTGACCGTGGGTGATGGTGAACGAGGAGTGGTTGGCCGCGGTCCCTTACCTCGTGAATCTTCCCGCCGCCAACTTCCCTCTCCCACCCGCTTCGCGCCGGACCTTCGCCTCGGTTAGGTGAGAGAGTTTGGAGTTTAACAAACATTTTTAAATTAAAACAACATTTACAACTTCACCAAGCGTCGTCTTGAAGCGGCGCGTGTAAACATTTGTTTTGTTATTTTGGTGTCACAGTTGGATGTTTAATAATAACGACGAGTTCTTTTTGGGTTGTTAGACGCAGCGAGGTACAGTGAGGTAGGCCTCTGTGGTTGACTAGGCCGCTAAAGATTAAAGTTAATTGACGATTAGTGAGCAAATATTTACATGTTTAGAATGCCGTGCCGCGTTAAATCAGTTCAGCAGTGGACTATGATCGTGGTTCATAAAATATAAATGTTCAATGTCAATCGCGAACCCCGTTGATTGTTGTGCGCGTTTGAAATGACGCAATGCGACTTTGCTAATTCCGCGTCGTCTCCCAAAGTTACTTTATCGACCTTTCGTGAAAGTTGGTTCCGCAGTGTCAGCGTCGACAATTGCCGACGGCAAGTTTATTGGGTTTTTTTTTTCTTTCCCGCGCGTCGTTGTTGCAAGACGCAACTGGGCATCTTGATTGAGCTTTAGCGGCGAGCGATTACCCGAACCTAGCCCCCTGGCAAACCTCTCCCATCACCACCAGAACTTTGTGCAGCAGATGATTTGATGCAGGGCTAAACAAAAATGATACTGGTAGGCACATCCTGGTTACACCAGCCCACAGGGGATTATTGTGTCCGTCCGTCCGTCGTGCAGGGAGGGGCTGGGTGGGGGTGGGGCTGGGTGGGGAGGGGCTGGATGGGATGGGGCTGGGTGGGGAGGGGCTGGGTGGGGAGGAGCTGGGTGGGATGGGGCTGGGTGGGGAAGGGCTGGTCACCCCGTGGTGCCCTTATTAAACTCAACGTTTAACCTACTCACGCCGGCTTGTGCCCGCCCTCACAGTCGGGCATATTTGCGGAATACACCACGCCGCCGTTGACCCTGGCCATTAACCGAGCACCCCAACGTTCCTACCAGCTCCCTCCGCAGGAAAGTTTTTGTTGTTGCGGAGACCGTTAAGTCAGCGGCCGCGAGGCGAATTAAATGAAGCTGAGTTCCCCGCCTCTATTTAAATGAACAGAGTAACGTGTTTTGTTTTATTGCTACTAATCACTGCAATTCCAACAACATTTATCTGCTGCTGCCATAAGTAAATCATGCCCAGCATTCAGCACTTAAAAATATATATATTCTTTCTCTATTTGTGCAAACTGTGCACAGTGTACACAGTATATTCTTTCAATTGTTGATTGTGTTGTCTTCTTACCATTGTAACACTGGATTATCCTTGGCTGTCCACAGCTGGGCATGGATCACCGATGTGCCCCTAATCATGGTAGACGTACACTCCTATTGTCTATCTACTGCTGGATGAGGGGTCCTCTTTCATTCATTCATTCATGCGGGTCGTTTGGGTTGTGTCACCGTGCATTCACTTCACAAGCCTGGCTTGGTGAAGGCGGGGAGCGTAGACGAGGGAGCGTGGTGGTACAGCAAAACTAAATTCTGTATATTTCGATTTAAAGCTTTCGTGACTGCAGGGATTAATCTTCTTGGTTCTTTTGGTAAAGTCACGTAGAATGGAAATAATAAATAAAATAATAAAAATTAAACAGGGAAATGTTCCGGCGCCGGGTGTGTCATTCAGACTCTGTCTTTCCGACAGACCTGTTTTCCACCTGAGGACGTCTGTCTCCTCGACAGACCTGTTCTCCACCTGAGGACGGCTGCTTGCGTTGTGGCCGAAACGTCGTGAGAATGATTTTATTATGTTTTATTATTATTTTATTATTTTTATTCTACGTGACTTTACCGAAAGAACCAAGAAGATAAATTCTGTATATTTCTGCAACTGTCCGCTTTGTAGTCCCCGCAGCCTGTTCACGCCTGCTATACTCAGAGTGGCCGTCTCGCGGCAATTCAGGCTCCTCACAACCCTTCTTCGCGTACCGAGGACCTGACGACACATTGCGGGTGATTTGGTCATCGAGCCGGGAATGATTCCGAGGACCCATATTACACTCTAGACTCTGTACCTGGCCACGGCTCGTAGATGATCTCAAATAAGAGCGGAATTCATCCACGTCTACCATGATTTTTAATGCCCGTATTAAAGGCCTGTCGTGGGCTGATAAATGACGCAGCATTGTAATAGCTGACACTCTGTAGACATTCTCTACTCACACGTATTATGTGTCATTTTATATTTAAACAGTGATCTCTCTTTGGTTGTAAACACGACTATTATTTTTCTTTATGCGTGGGAACAGCCGAATGATGAGTCATTCTCTCTGTCACTCCCCCTGACTTAATGTCTGGTAATTGTCCGCGTACGGTTTTTTTTGTTTTAGAAAGTGTCGAACCATTGAGCGCGTTTTGCAACAACAACAAAAAGAGCCGCCACGTGATAACAACCTCCAGGGCGGCGTTAATACGCGAAAACTCTCGTCCCGATCCAATGACGTGAGATAGAGGGCCAAATAATTCACGCCCGGTACGTGTCACCACCACCACGTTCAGCAAGAACGGTCGTTAACATAATTGCCACGTGCGGCTCGGGATAGGTGGTGGGTGGGGGGGGGGGTTAAAGTCAGACAGACCTAGCCGGCGCCGGAACAATTCACTGGTTCGAGTCCAGGTTTCAGCAGCCCGTGATTAAGTCGGGATCTCTGGATTAGCCATGTTGATGGTCTCAGGCCAGGTCCGCCAATTCACAGCATTGCGCATTGACACCCCCATAGACTTACATAAGAAACTCGTGGCCATGTGTTTTACCAATTGAGTAATTTGCAAGTTTTCATTTTGCAGATTTAATAAAGTCAAGGGATCATGAACATCCACTGTGAAGCGGATTGCGAATATTTTATATGTTGAGAGTGAAATTGATACCCTGCCGAAATGAGCATTGAGGTAGTGCCCAACTCCTACTTTCAGCCCTGGCCCAGTGGTAGAAATTCCATATTCCCATGGTGGGGGTGAATTCATGTATAGGACAACCACTGTTGACTTACCCACCAAGAGGTACCCATTTTATCAACCCCGGACGGATGATGGCGTGAGTTAGCACCCCAGCCAGGAATCGAACTCGCTAACTTCCGATTGCGAGCTGCTCGCGCTACCCCACGGTAGCCACGTGGTCAGCCAACACATTCCTGCGGAGGGAGCTGGTAGGAACGTTGGGTTGCTCGGTCAATGGCCAGGGTCAACGGCGGCGTGGTGTATTCCGCAAATATTGGCCGACTGTGAGGGCGGGCATAAGCCGGCGTGAGTAGGTTACACGTTGAGTTTTATAAGGGCACCACGGGGTGACCAGCCCCTCCCCACCCAGCCCCACCCCTCCCACCCCCCACCCAGCCCCACTCAGCCCCTCCCCACCCTCCCCACCCAGCCCCTCCCCACCCAGCCCCTCCCCACCCTCCTTTCTCCACCCAGCCCCACTCCTCCCATTTTTGGATGCACGACAGACGGACGGACACAATAATCCTCTGTGGGCTGGTGGAACCAGGTGGTTCCTACCAGTATAATCACGGTACATATCATCCCGCAACTTTGTCGCAGATCATCTCTGTTGTTCGACACGACCGTGTTTCAAGGATGAGACACTGAATGGCAAAACCAGTCCCGATTTGGCTTGCAATGAACCAGTCCTGTTGAAAGTATGTGTGCTTCTCAGAAGCCCGTGGCATCAATAGGTTGTGTAAAATACTTGTGTGGTTTTTTTTTTATTTTACACGGAGAGACGGATATGTGCGAATTGAGATATTGTGTCTGCTTATCTTTTTTTTGAGTTATCTATTTTATTAGTCAACCACCCAACCAGTATTTCAACTTCGCGACACAAGCCACATGGCCGGTTACTACACCCGGAATTACTAACCAGGGCAGCTGTGGGTTTCGAACCTCAGGTTGGAACATCGCGTGCTATCGGCTATGGCCACGTCACCGCCCCTGGGTGCTTGCGGCTGCTGGGGGCTGTCGGTCGCGTAGCAGTGAGCCCCCTCGATGGGTTGAACGATCGGTGAGGGCGGCAGATGACGGAACAGCTGACGTGTGCTTTACGAGCGCAGCCCGTGGTGGAGGAGACTCGTTGCACTGTTTGCCGTTTTCCAGAAAGCGCCGATTCCTTTTTTTTTGTTTTGGTTTGCCCAACACGTTTTGTGTTGCCAAATCTGCAACCGGTTCCCTTGGGTCCTTCTGTGCTTTGTGTTGAGTTTCGACTAAGTTTGGCCAGATCCCTGCGGTGTGGGGGAGAGCGGTAGATGGAGAGAACTGCTGGTTGATTGTGTTGAGTGTCTTTCACTACAGCCTTATCAGCTTCTTTATGTGCACGGCATATTACACATTTTAAGCGTTGCAGAAGAGAAATGCGTTCGGCTGGTTTCAAGGAAGACGCGTGACGTTTAAGATTGTTTTCGCAATTACACAGCTGAAAGTATTCACTCTTGCGGGTCGGTGGTCTAAACCGAGCGTGCGTGTACGATACACGCAGTATGGTGGGCACGCTGCAGTTAGTCGATCGACAGGTCGTGTGTGGGTAATCCCACCTGCCCCAAGACATCTGACCAGCGTGGAAGAGTAGGTGGAGGCACTGCAGCCAGTAGTGGCGTTAGCGAGCAATTGCAGGGCTGCGCTTTTGCCTCGGCATTGATGTCACGTGACATGCAAGGCATTTTGGGTGACCGATTCCGTGATCACAATCCTGCTTTGTGCTCTAGAAATCACCGCTTATGTATTTTATGACTTAGATTATATACTTTCCAGCCTACACAGACATTTTTTTGTTCGATATGATGTTTCTCTCGTTTGCGGGAAAGCATTAGAATCTGTTCAGACTGCACTTGATAACAAACCAATACAATTTTTTGGGAAAACGTTATGTTACATTGATCAAGTTTGATCTTTTTGGATTTCCAGCCAATCTCAACCCACCAATGGATAGAAGGCCTCACCACTACCATGTTGGTTACAAACAATTCGTATGTTTCTTCGCTACGCTGGTCAGCGCTAGTTGGGTCAAAGGATAGCACCGAGGCCTAAGGACCAGTTCTGACGTCACTCGCAACCGCCGATATGCGATAGCCACGTCTGAGACTCGAACTGAGGTCACCGTGTTCGCACCGCGGCACGCTGACCACTTGACCACCGCTGCTGAACCGCCCTTTCGATGTATCTGCTGCTCGTATTTTATCAGCCGTGGGTTTCTGTCGCTTCGCAACCTCACCGTCGGAGTTTTAACTCCGCTCTGTTCTCTTTGCGCAGCGTTTGTTGTTGTTGTTTTGTTAACGCCCGGCCTCGCTAATAGAAATACGATTGGTCAAGCGGAAAATTGGTTTAAAGCAATGGGGGATGGGGGGGGCTTTAGATTAGCAACGATGCTGTTCCCCTTTGTATTAGCACACACAGCGCACATCGCAACAAAACAAAGCCCGACTTGCCAACAAAAATGTTTAGTATGGCCCTAACCAGCATAGTGTTTGGACTCTGGCTGCTTTACAATTTTGACTTTTAACTCGCTTGTGGCTTTTTTTTTGGAATGGTCCTCAGCGTGGAATTCGGCCCATTGATTGCGATGGAGGCGTTGGATGTAAGCGCTGGTTTGGGCTCGTGCGAATCATTCCAAGTCGTACCCTTGCTAAGGGTACGCTTGGGAAAATTATTCTGCTTAGGTTCGACTTCGTCAGAAACGTCACCGCCGCATCTGTGACCGGTTCTCCCCACGATCGAGAGCTCGGTTCGAGGGAGACGGCTGCCGCTTTGTGGACGCGTCGCCCCGTCTCGATGCGCAAGCTCCAGCAAGTCGCGCACTTCGGTTCGCGGTTCGACGTGCAAAGTGGACTGTGACCCTCATAGGAATGGCGCCTGCCCCCCCCGTGCTCTCCCCCGTGATTCCGTGGATCAAACAAATCACTCGAGACACCGGTGTACGGCGGCAAGAACAGTTTATGCGACTGCTGTCGCAAGAGATCACACGTTTGACGCAACGGTCCTCCGTCGCCGACTGTTGCGTGACGAATTAATTGAATTGTAGGTTCGGTTTGAGTCGGCCGTCGCCCTGGCTGCAACGTTGATCGCGTCTGAGCCAGCCGCCCCTTTGTCTACCCGGCGGCGTGAATGCGTATGGCGCAGTCGGGCGATCAGTCGGCAGGCCATTCGTGTGTGGTGGGCATTATTATTTTTATTATTGCACGTGATGGCAGCAGCATTGTGGTTCAGGTGGTCGATGCCAATGACCAAGGTCTGTTTGCTGCTGGCCACGATGAGAGGGCTACAGCAGCTACAGAGATTCCTTGTAAAAAGGTTTCAGTTTTGTTGCCATAAAAAAGGGGGAAAACCCTGTTCTTTCAGCTATAGAGAATTTGCGTGGTGCTGCTGTTCCTCCTCCTCCGTTGAAGGAGAGTAGATCACAGTGGTATTTACTGTGCGGGCCATAGTTTCGGTTTTATGGCCACAGTCACACTACTAAGGAGATGTAGACGTCACCCTGATGATGCTGTGATGCTGTTCATTCGTTACACCAGTGTTTTGGTGGGTTAAAGTGTGGGCACTCCCCCACCTTGCAAGACATCTGGGTGGCGTGGAAGTTCTGGAGAGGGGCTTTCTGGAGCTGCCTGTGGTGGAGGCCCTTCTGCTAGCAGTGCTATGAGCAAGCAATTGCGGGGCTGCACCCTTACTGGTTTAGGTTATTTGCCCACTGCTATAAATTCCCACGTGGTGATAAGCAACTTCGTTGAGCTATCTATTTGTGGTGGACAGGTCACTTCTGAAAAAAAAGCTAGAAAGCTCAGTGGGCATTACCTGGTAAAATAAGCAAAAAAACCGTATCGAATAGTTTGAGTTAGGATGAGGTCAAACATTTAATGGTAAGATATAACTTTGGAAACACATTTTTTGAGTAGATTGGGTTTATGTTAGGCTTGGGGCTTAGTCAGACACACTTTAATGCTTGGAGTAAATTATTTATCGATCAAATCGATACTTAGGCTGAAGGTACATGCATGCGCCAAAGTTGGCAAGACGTTAACTCCCTCGCCTGGTATGCAGGAGGTGGTGGGTTCGATCCCGACCCTGACGCCTGCTGCTGTATATTTAGAGTTTGCGTGTCTCTCTCTCATCATCATCATCACAGTGGCTAGGAGATGTTGACTACCTCGCCTGGTATGCAGGAGGTCGTGGGTTCGATCCTGACCCTGACGCCTGCTGTATATTTGGAGTAGTTTGCGTGTCTCTCTCTTTCCGTGGTCGCGTGGATTTTTTCCAGGTCCTTGGGTTTTTCAACTCCACATTTAGAATCACCATCATCTGGTTTGAGTATTTAGCTCCTATAAATTTCCACACGATGATGATGCGCCACTTTGTTGAGTTATCCATTTGTGATAGCCAGGTTGCTTCTGAAAAAGCTACATAGCTCAGTGGGCCCTTACCTGCCAAACAAAAAAAAATGTTTTTATTAATCGTTTGTTCTGTGGGGGTAATCTCTTATTTACAGTTTTGTGTAAAGTCGCACGCAAACGAGGCGCTCGCGTTCCCTTGCAGCCGGACGAAGCGAACAAAAACTGTGGAACCCGAGACTAAAAATTAAATACAAACGTGGCGGTGGAAACTGGACGAAAAGGGATCGATTCTCCAATGGGATCATGACCCCTCAATTGTGCCAAATCTTTTGAATCGCTGAGAGGGGCGGAATTGGTAAATGGCTCTTTTGTTTCTTCTTGCGATAGCGGTCGAAAGACATTTTGTGCAGATTTGGTTTTGTTTAGTGTCGGGGCGGGTTTTAATTCAAACGCATCTCTTTTGTAAGCTTTACATTTCAAAGCGTTTTGTGTACATTTGGTTCTGGTTAGTGTTAGGGCGAGCGCTTATGCCAAACACATTTCTTGCAAACACTTAAGTCTCAAAGCAATTTTGTTTAGAGCTTGAAATCGCATTCCATCCAACCGTTGTGTTGCAGATCGCCAGTTGCGTGTGCGGGTCGCCCGCGCCTTTTGCGTTATTCATCAAAGATGTGTGGCGGCAGGGGGAGAGCGGTGGCACAGCAGCGAGCCGCACCACGCTGCAGACCCCCCTTCGGCATGAGTTCGATTCCCGCTCAAGGCCAACGTCGCCAGGGAATATCGGAAAACGGATCCATCGGCCTCGGACGGATTTGACTTGGCGTCGAATAACTTCCGACACTGTGCGGGGAGACAAAGGCAGCCAGAGACGGTGCTGACCACACCCAATCTCCTCGCGTGGTCCACACTCCGGCCTTTTAATAGGTGCTCGCCAAGAGCGCTCGTCCCAGCAGTCTGCGTAGGCTATATACGTTGGGGGGATCTTTGCGTGCGTGCGTGCGTGCGTGTGGTGTGTTTTATTCATTACTGTGCTGCTCCCTAGCTCCACCAGCCTCGTGGTGCTGGCGAAAACATTGTTAAGAAGCCCTTCAGCCCAGTTTGATGTGTTGGGGGCCAAGGGGGCGCGCACGGTTTCACAAAACTAGATTTTATTCTTTTATCCGACGGTGAAACAATAAAATAAACAAAATGAAGAGTCGTTGCCGGTGTGGCCTCTTCCTCGGGCACCTTAGCCTGCGTAGGGTTACTGCTTCGGTGAACGTTTGCAATGAATAGCAGAGGTCACGAGAGTTCCAGGAATTTTATTGTCACTCGCAGGAAGTAAAGATGTCGACATTCTGGCTGACTGACTCGGCCTTGTAAAGAATGATATATTTTTTTAAACGTCTCTACAGTCGGTCGACTGTGAATCCCCCCACCAGAGTGATTTGTCTAAACCGATGCAGTGTTTGCTTTGCGTTAGTCTTAACCACGGGCCACCGTACCTTCCACCGATGCTGCTTGCTGCCCAAGCCCACTCGACCAGCGAGCCCGACTCTGCTGACGCGACGCTGTGTGTTGAAACGGGGCTCGGTTTTTGCTTGTGTCAAGCAAGTGCTGTTGAAATTATACATCCCCTCAAGTCCACCCTCCCACCATGCCACCCTACCGCCCTGCCGTTCTGCCACCATGCCACGTGACCGCCCTGCCAACCTGCGGCCCTGCCAATCTGCTATGCTACCACCCAGCCACCCTGCCACTCTTCTAACCTGTCACCCTGCCACCCAAACAAACGCTGTCACAATCGTGCATGGACACTTTGCGTTTTCACCTTGCACACCAAGTAATTTCAAACCCTGAAGTGATGTCGTTCTTGCAATGCTCGCCCGCGTGTGCAGGAGAGATTTTCGAGATTTGCAGTGAGCCCTCCTTGTGTGCGACAAAATCCCCATCAGTCACCACGGCCTTTCTGGGAGCGCGTAACCTCAGCAGCATTGGTTTAACACTCGCAAAACTCTGGACCGCTTTCAACATACGGCATCTCGCTGGCAGTCAAGCTTGCTTGATCCAATGCTGGTGAACTGCCAGATGTTTTTAGGCATCTGTGTGCGTGTGTGTGCGCGTGCGCGAGTGAGGTCGTGATAACCTGGTCCCTTATCTGATTGCTGGGCACGGCCTGGGATACATTCCCCCCCTACCCTCCTCCTCCCAACCTCTTGTCTCAGGAAGCCCGGCATTCCTCAAGCGCACGGAAAATCTCTTTTAAAAAAAGATCCCGACCTATAAACGGAACGGGCAGGAATTTAAAACTCCGTCTTGCGTTCCCCGGCAGCCGCTTAGGGCGGCCCCATACTGAGTGCCGCCGTTTATTTTTTTTGGTGGGGGGATGGTGGTGGGGGTTTGAGGGGGCAGGGGGGGGGGCGAGGTGAGGGAGTGAGTGGGAGGGGGGGGCGTGGTGTGAAATGTGCTGACAGCCTCTCGTTGGCTGGCTGGCTGGCAGGCCCGGCGTGTTTTGGAGCGCGGAGTTATCTGGCGAGTGCGCGAAAAACTCTTGCGGAGTTTTAAAACGCGGCCGGTTGTGGCGGTGGCGGTGTTTTTTTACAATTTTTTTTGTTACTTACCGCCGCCAGTTCCTGTTGCTCGGGCGTCAAAAAAACTTCGATGGCGAATGTTCCTTCGCGAGCCCCCACCCTTGCTCACCGTCGTGTGTACATGTCACGGACTTAGCCGAGATCGAGATAATCACCGCTATTGTCGTTTGATTAAGACGCTGCCGGTTAACCGGGACGGCAGCTTCTGATCAGATGGTGGGCGGGCGGGCGGACGTCACGTGGCCAACCAGAGGTTGTGCGCTCCAGAGACCAGTCGCTGTTCATCGAGCATGCTTTTAAACAAACTCTGAAACAATATTTATTCATGCTGGAGAAATCCGATGAGCTGTAAAGCTCTTCTCCACAGATGTCCAGTAGGGGAGAGTGGTCAACAACGTTACAAAAACAAAGAATACAAAAACAGGAGAGGAGTGCAAAGTATGGAAATTGTAAATTAATCACTTTGAAAAATATATATACAATAAAACCAAACAATTGTTTCTCTGACCAGGTAAAACCCACTGAGCGATCAGCTTCTTTTTCATAAGCGACCTGGCCACAAACAACAAAGTGGCTCATCATATGGAAATGTATGGCAGCAAAATAATCTAAATGCACGTTTTTGAAATGTAAAAGCTCTTTGTTTCGGTGGCGAAACACCGACTCCCGTCACTCTACCGCATTGCCCTACCAGGTCACCGCAACAGCGCGCGGCAAACGCGTCGCCGGTGACTTTTGCCGGTGGCGATCGCCGGAAAATTGCCTCGCCTGACGCCGCACCGCCCCGTCCCAGTTTTGATGCGAGCGCCGTTGCGATTTCGTGCGAGCAACAGGGTCCTGCTGTGACGTTGCTGCCGGTGGTGTCGTCCGGTGGTGTCGTCCGTCTCCTCCGCTCGACCGCCCGATCGACCGACCGACCACCCGCCCGCCCCGCCAGCACTCCCGCCGGCGCTACGAGACGGAGGAGCAGGCCGAAGAGGCGGCGGCGGCGGCGGCAGCGGCAGAATGTGGGAGACGCTCCAGGGCTGGCTGCAGTACTGCGTGGAGTGGGCCGCCAAGGACCCGTACGGCTTCCTGTCGACAGTGCTGCTGGCGCTGTCGCCCTTCTTCCTGGCCAGCGCCGCCCTCTCGTGGAAGCTCGCCAAGGCCATCGAGGCGCGCGACCGCGACGCCAAGAAGAAGGCCAAGCGGCAGGAGAACGTGCTTCGCTCGCGCAATAAGGGACGCAAGGCCGAATAGGCCCCGCGCCCCAGCGGCCCCTGGAGGTCTCTCGTGTTAGCCGCTGGGCGCGGTCTCGCGGCGGTGAGCTACTGGCGATAGTGTCGTGGCGGCGTCTATGGCTTCCGTCTAACCTTCACCGGTCTTCCTGTGCCGCCACCGCTGTTGTTGTTGTCACGTTACTTGGCGATGTTCGGCGTTAGGCGGCGATGGCGATGGCGACGTAGGCGGTGGTGGTGGCAGAGGGATGGTGATGATGGTAGTTTAGCGGGGGGGGGGGGCGTCTAGAGTGTACGTGGAGGAACGCGGATCGGCCACGATGCGTGTCTCGACGAAGAATGACGACCGTGGGTTAGGCGGTTCCAACAAAAAATTCTGGGGGGAGGGAAGTAATTTGTTTAATGAAATAAATTTGTGAGTCAGCCCAATAACCTGGGACCAAGCCCCGGATCGAGTTATCATCGTGGCCACAGCTTCTGATGCCACCATCACCACCATCACCACCATCACCACCATCACCACCATCACCACCATCACCACCATCACCACCATCACCACCATCACCACCATCACCACCATCACCACCATCACCACCATCACCACCATCACCACCATCACCACCATCACCACCATCACCACCATCACCACCATCACCACCATCACCACCATCACCACCACCACCACTGCACCTCATCCCCAACGCATTCTCTCCCTTCCGCCAGATCCCGCCGCTGCTTCAGAGTCAACTCACAGCCACCTGCAAGGTCTACCCTGAGAGTCTCATTCCACCGTCTGGCGTTAGACTCGCACAAAGACCTATAGACTCATGCAGAAACCCATGGACTCATCACACAGAGACCCATGGACTCATCACACAGAGACCCATGGACTCATCACACAGACCCATAGACTCACACAGAGATCCATAGACTCACGCAGAGACCCATAGACTCATGCCGAGACCCATGGACTCATCACACAGAGACCCATAGACTCGCACAGAGATCCATAAATGCACACAGAGATCCAGGACACACACAGAGACTGGACATCTGTGAAAAAGAGCTTCATAGCTCATCAGATTTCTCCAGGATAAAAAAAGATTTTTATTCTGAGACCCATAGACTCGCGCAGAGACTCATAGACTCAGAGAGGCCCCTGACCAGTCTCCCACCATCTGCTCTTTGGCGTTCTCTTCCCCTTGGTCGCTGGACTCGTGGAAGGCCGCCACCCCAATGCCTGTCTGGGTAATCGGCCCTCACCCCCCCCATGCAGCGCTATCGTCCCACCCAGCGCCGCCGTTTCTGCCTCGCCGTAGGACCACCACTGGAGCCAATTAAACAACAAAAATGAAGATAAACATTTTTTTGTTTAAGACCTGCCTGTCGACGATGGACTTTCTTTCACGATACGTGTACATTGCGAAAAGAGGATGATCAACCCGCTTCGCACGCTGCTCCCTGTACCACGATAAAGCAAAGAAATCTTCACACGGCGGCAGCAGCAGCAGCACTCATTCTCACCTCTGTACATTACCCCGCTCCCCACCAAAACCCCCACGAGTTCCCCAACCCCCCCCCCCCCTCGATGGCACGGGAAGCTTGCGCCACTGCGTCAAGGAAAAGATGAACGGGGCAACCGCGGCGGCGCGGAGACGTCATCTCCCTCGCCTGTTCACGCAGGAGAGTCCGTGGGTTTCGCTCCCGGACCCTGACGATGCCTGCTGTTGCAGATTTGGAGTCGGCGTGTTCTGTCTCTTCGCCCGTGGCAGTCACGTGGATCGTTTATCCGGCTTCCTGCGGTTTTGCCCCCCCACCTCCTTCGCCCTCCCACCGCATTTAGAATCAACACACGTTTAGATAATTGGGCTCGCCCGTATAAATTCCCACGTGTGATGATGATCATGATGATATCAGCCACTTCGCCGATGAGCTTTCGTTGTGTGTGTCCAGGTCGCCTCTGAATAGTGGATATCTCGTAGAGGTTTTAACTGCTAAATAAAAATTTTAGTTTATAAATTCATTATTATTATTCTCGCGATGCGTGCATCGGTTCACGCGTGTGAGAGTCGGTTCATCATCAATTTATGCAAACGGTAAACTTTTATTTTAAATAGCGGCTGCTGAGTGCAAGCCCGCAGGCCCAAATCGCCAAGAGGGAATCACAGAGTGAGGCAGTGCGTGGGAAGCAGAAAGAGAAGTGGTGTTGGGACCTGCAAGTGTAGTGAGTGGGTGGGTGGGTGGGTGAGTTGGTGGGTGGGTGGGTCAGTGGGTGGGTGGGTGGGTGAGTTGGTGGGTGGGTGGTGGTGGGTGGGTGGGTGAGTGGGTGAGAGAGGGTGGTGTTACCTGCAAGTGTGGTGAGTTGGTGGGTGGGTGGATGAGTGGGTGGATGAGTGGGTGGGTGAGTGAGGGTGGTGTGACCTGCAAGTGTGGTGAGTTGGTGGGTGGGTGAGTGGGTGGGTGGGTGAGTGAGTGAGTGGGTGAATGAGGGTGGTGAGTTGGTGAGTGGGTGAGTGAGTGGATGAGTGAGTGAGGGCAGTGTTGTGACCTGCAGTGTGGTGAGTTGGTGGGTGGGTGGGTGAGTGGATGAGTGGGTGTGTGAGTGAGTGGGTGAGTGAGGGCGGTGTTATGACCTGCAGTGTGGTGGTTGATCACGGTGCGGAGGATGAGCTGAAACGGCCCGTGTCCTGTAGACCAAATCCTCACCGTGGGTGGAAGAATCCGTGAGCGAAGTTCTTGTCCCGTAACCATGGTAGGTGGCTGGACTGGGAGTAAATCAGTGCTGGAGCGTCATTCAACCTGAATCGGGTTTTTTTTCGGCTAATGGAACAAACCGAACCATACAAAGGAGATGTAAATCACAGCAAGAACAATACAAATGAGGTGGTAAAAATGAGACCAAACAGCATCGAAACTCCGATCCTGAATCCTGACGATGACTAGAATCACTGTGGGGGAGGGATGTGAAATGTATCGTGGTGTCTGTTCTTGTGAGTGACCTTTCTCCGGTGTCCTACCAGCACCACACTCATGAATGAAACTGGCCAAATATCTCAATGCAGAATGATTGAAAGCTAAGCAGGCGTGTGAACCTGGTTGGTTACAGCGTGGATGGGAGACTCCTCTGTCTGGGAATGCCAGATATCAATGTCGGTTTGATTTGCGATGGATTCTAGAATCATGAGGTTAACAAAATGGAATCGTGTCACCGATTGGGGGTGAATTATTAAACGGCAAATTTTTACGAGTCGATTCACAATTCGTTTTTTGTTGTTGCCGGTAACGATCCGGCAACATTTGTGTCGTAAGACCCTCCACCACACCACACGGCCCAGCAAATAATATCTGCCGCGCGGTGTCCACGCGTTTTTGCGACGCACACCGATGATTGCTGTGGTCGGCTCACTCACCGGCGAATCTGCAGAACGGCTCTGACACCCAAAGTTTAAAGTAGTTCGATGCGCGACGATGTTTGCGTGGACGCTGCCTCGAGCATCCTCAGGAAAGTCGGCACGTACACGGCCACTTGTTTGGCGATGACGGGGCTGTGGAGGCTCTTCAAGACACAATTATGGTCATGTCGTTTCGTGCCCAAAACCAAACGTATTTTTTTTATGCTGCGGAGAATTGCGCGTTAAGTCAGTCCCCGAGTCCTTGGCTGGCGTGAGCCTGAGTTCGAACCCAGGGCACGCGCGGCGTCATGCAACCTGTATTCTCTCATGCGTTGGATTCCAACGGTTTGGAAGCGGTGCCGAAATCAGGAATTGTGAACTTCAGAAATTGCGCGACACACGCACAGACACACAGACGCACGCACGCATGCGCTTTGTCTCTCAACCTGAACCCGCTCACCTCGTAATCATCGACTAGTGATTCCAGTCCAATTCTACTCGTCGACGAAGGTGAGCGGCCAAGTCTGGTGGGAAAAGATACACCGTGCTGAGCTGTGTGATGGACTTGTGTTCTGTGTTACCTTGAGTTGGCTGGCGTTGTGCCCTGTATAGGCTGGAGAAGTGTTCTGTGTTACCTGGAGCTGTGTTTTGTATTGGCTGGGGCTGTGTTCTGTATTGGCTGGGGCTGTGTTCTGTGTTGGCTGTGTTCTGTATTGGCTGGGGCTGTGTTCTGTGTTGGCTGTGTTCTGTATTGGCTGGGGCTGTGTTCTGTATTGGCTGGGGCTGTGTTCTGTGTTGGCTGTGTTCTGTATTGGCTGGGGCTGTGTTCTGTATTGGCTGGGGCTGTGTTCTGTATTGGCTGGGGCTGTGTTCTGTGTTGGCTGGGGCTGTGTTCTGTGTTGGCTGTGTTCTGTGTTGGCTGTGTTCTGTATTGGCTGGGGCTGTGTTCTGTGTTGGCTGGGGCTGTGTTCTGTGTTACCTGGAGCTGTGTTCTGTGTTGGCTGGGGCTGTGTTCTGTGTTGGCTGGGGCTGTGTTCTGTGTTGGCTGTGTTCTGTGTTGGCTGGGGCTGTGTTCTGTGTTGGCTGGGGCTGTGTTCTGTGTTGGCTGGAGCTGTGTTTTGTGTTGGCTGTGTTCTGTGTTGGCTGTGTTCTGTGTTGGCTGGGGCTGTGTTCTGTGTTGGCCGGAGCTGTGTTTTGTGTTGGCTGTGTTCTGTGTTGGCTGGAGCTGTGTTCTGTGTTGGCTGGGGCTGTGTTCTGTGTTGGCTGGGGCTGTGTTCTGTGTTGACTGGAGCTGTGTTCTATGTTGGCTGGGGCTGTGTTCTGTGTTGGCTGGAGCTGTGTTCTATGTTGGCTGGGGCTGTGTTCTGTGTTGACTGGAGCTGTGTTCTGTGTTGGCTGGAGCTGTGTTCTGTGTTGACTGGAGCTGTGTTCTGTGTTGACTGTGTTCTGTGTTACCTGGAGCTGTGTTCTGTGTTGGCTGTGTTCTGTGTTGACTGTGTTCTGTGTTGGCTGGGGCTGTGTTCTGTGTTGGCTGGGGCTGTGTTCTGTGTTGGCTGGAGCTGTGTTCTGTGTTGGCTGGAGCTGTGTTCTGTGTTGGCTGGGGCTGTGTTCTGTGTTGGTTGGAGCTGTGTTCTGTGTTGGCTGTGTTCTGTGTTGACTGTGTTCTGTGTTGGCTGGAGGTGTGTTCTGTGTTGGCTGGGGCTGTGTTCTGTGTGTAATGGATCTTGTAACTGGAGCTATTGTTCTCTATCGGCTGCAGCCGCCACGTTTTCGTTTCGTGCATGGAGCTCCCCAACAGCTGCGACAACCAAACCGATGGGGGCACGGCAATTACAGCGAACCCTGACAATCCAGAGCATGTGTGCGCGCCGGCGTGGGGAGCGGTGGTGCAGCGGTTAGCGCACTGCGCTACAAACACCTCCCCCCCCCCGACCCGAGTTCGAATCGCGCTCACGGCCACCGATACCAAGTGACGATTATCCGAACCGGTTATGGGCCTCCCCCCCCTAGGTCGACTCAACCTCAAAATGAGTGCCCCGGCGCGGTGTGTAAACATCGCTGCTGTGGAGACAAAGGCGGCCCGGGCCGGCCTTTAATAGGTGCTACTCGCTAACAGCACTTGCCCCAATAATTTGTTGAAGCTATACGGAGGATCTTTGTCTTTTTTTGTGTGCGTGCGTTACCAGAGTCTGCTCCAAGCTGCGCGTCCCTCCTTTTTACCAATTGCGGGTTTTTACATCACATTTTGTTATCCGCGCAGCTGGAGTCGGCCTCATGGCAATCGGTCCCGTGGGTTATTGTTATTATTGTTGTTGTTTTGTCGCCCTCCTTGGTAAACAAACACCCGCACGTTTGATTCTTCCGCTCAATCACGGAACGCGATCCTACCCGCGCGTTGCGTGTCGCCGTCTCTCCCTCCCCCTCCCTCGCCTACTACTTTTTATGCCTACGGAATAATAAGAATAGCGATTAAAACACGTCTTCAACGTTCGTAACAAAATCTGCTTTTGCACGGTGCGAATTATGTTGATCGTCTTCGTTGTCATCAGCCGTGATCGATGCACTGCTGGATGAAGGCTTCCCACAAGGCACCACCGACACCACCTCCCATGCTGCTCTACCCTACACACGCACGCGATGTCCGTTTCGATTTTAGATATTGCTACGATTACACTGGTCAACAAAAAAAACATTTTTTTCTGGCCTGGACTTTTGCAGCTGTTTTAGACTAATTTCAGGGTGCTGATTCCAAATCTGATCTCAGATTTGCTCTATCACATCTCATTTTTATGCTATCGGCATACCCCATTTTCATTGATTTTACCCGAAATTAACTCTTGTCACTTATGATTGCAAGTTGTTGCGAGTCAGTGACTGCTTTAGTGTTAAAATATGGTGCTGTATTTCTAGGATAGTGTGTTTATAATATAATTTTATGTCGATATCCACATTTATTTAATATTTTTTCTGCAGTTTTTATTGAAAATGCAATATTTGATATCTCAAAAACCTGATGTGATAGACAAAAACTAATGCCACATTTGGAATCGGTACCCCGAAATTACCTTAACACCGTTGGAATACCTTATGCCAGAAAAAGTGTGTTGACCAGTGTAATGCATTTTTTTATACTGGAGGAATCCGATGAGCGATAAAGTTATTTTTCACAGATGTCCAAGCTTGTCCCCAAAAGCCCAGGACACACAAGGGGATATTATATGATCAAAACAAATAACAGAAGGTGATTGCATTTTTAACAAACGGACGTATTGACGGTGCACAGCAACGCGGCGTAACGCAGTCTAAACGATGTGGCTGTTGCTCCTTGAGTGAGCTGCAGGACTCCTCCATCAGAAGTTGACACTTTTAGATTCATACAGCCGCAGTTGTCCCTGTTCGAACGTGGCGGTGGTGGTGGTGGCGGTGGTGACATCCATCGCGAGTCGTCATCGTTTGATGCCACCGTCCGGCAAGAAACGATTCGGGAAATGAATCGAGGAACCGTCTGATCCGAGTCTGGGGGGATGCGAGGAGTCGGACGTTGCCCTTGGAACGCGGAGCCAGACGATTGTCATCGGGCTCGGTGCTGCGGGATGACAACAGACTGCGTGAAGCTTCGTCGTGTTCAGCC